CGGAGGTGCGGGAAGCAGGGGCCCGAGCGGGCATCAGCGGGGCTCCCACCCCCGGCCTCCCCTCCGCCAGCCTGAGTCACTTGCTCCGACAGCTCGCTTCCCGTTCGCAGGGAAACTGCACGTCCTGGCAGCCTGGAAGCTAGGTACAAGCCCTCCCTGTGCGCTCCCCCTTCCACAATGGTGGCTTCACATCGCACCCAGAGACAAAGGGCAGCTGTCATGAACGGGGGCCAAAGGACTTTTCATGCCTGATGAAAAGGTGCTTGTTAGAACCCTGAGGTGCCAGGGGCTCTTCTCCCACCCCTTTTCTCCCCCCACTCCAGCTAATGCTTTGGCTGCTGCCTGCACCCCATGATTGCCTCTGTAAGTGAGGCATCACTGCCACCAGTACCACTATCAGCCAGAAGACCTCGCACCAGGATTGGGACGACCACCCCTGCCAGCTCCCCGTGGCTGTTGGAAGCAGAGATGGGTGCACCATTCAAAGCCAGAACGCGATTACTCCCCACACAAACCTGGCTGAACGCTCCTTCCTCACCCTGGGACAAGGAAGGGGTCAACCTTCACAGTACCCGAGTCACTGCAAACACATGGAGCCAGCCAATAAGCCCACTAGATCACCACCGGATCGCAACATCAGGTCAAGATTTCAGACTGGGAAGGAGGCCCGAGCCCCCCACCTGGCAGACACACATACTGAAATTCTGTGGCAGACACAGCTTTGCAGCCGAGCAGTCTCCCGGGGGACACAAGCAGGGGTCTCAGCCTCCCCAGGGGGAGCGGAGCAGTCATTTCCCCCTCTCCCTGTCCTAGAGGATGGTTGGCAAGCTGCAGGGTGTTAGCTCGGTTCACATTCCTGCAGAAGCCTTGTGCAGTCGTGCCCTGGAGTCCTGTCCTTGGCGTACCCTGACCCCCCTTGGGTGCACGCAGACCCTGGGGGAGCTGGGGTCCACAGCGGTGCCACAGGCAGGGTCCCAGGCAGGAGCTGGCTCCCCTGCCCGTCCCCACTACCGGGGCACCAAGGGGACCTGGGGGTATAGCCGAGAGAAGCTGGGGGCACCCATGCCCAGCACGGTGGACGGTGGGACACCATCCTTCTGGGTGAGGACAGAGACAGTGAAGGTGCTGCCGTCGAGGGGCCTCCCTCCTCTCTGCAGCCCCTCCCTGCCCATTCCAAGAGCCACAGGGCGGGACCACCCTGCTGCCAGTCAGGGAGAGACGGAGCAAGGAACCCCGCGATTGGTGCACAACACCGCCCAGGTCCCACCTACTGCCTGCTCCGGGAGAGGGGAGGAGGCATTCTTAAAGGGCCAATACAGCAAAAGGTGGGACAACTGGATTCCCCAGCGTCCAAAACCGGGTACCTTCTTGGACTTACTCATTCCTCGAGGACTTCTGACAGTGCCACCAGCAGGAAGCTGTCACAATAACCTTGACTCTACGATGTGCCCTGACCCATCCCAGGCCGGGTCCTGCACAGCACAGCTGTGTGACAGACATTGTCACTGGCAACACAGGGTGTTGCGCCCCTGGGAATGGGTTTGGTGCTGCTGCAGTGCCTCAGCAGAAGTGCCCTGTGAAGCCCACATGGTCTGGGAGAATCCACTCAGTGTCCTGAGTTAGCTCAGTCATTGAGGGGCTGGAGCAAGGGATGGGCTTCACACAGGGGATCCTGCTGTTGCTCAGGTCTGTCAAAGCCTGGGATGGGGATGGTGGCAAGGCAGGAAGGGTATGGGGTGTCCAGGATGGAGAAGGAGATGTACCCATTACAGAGGGCTAGAGCTCACCCTCTGGAAAGGCTCCGACCCACACAAGGCAGGGAGCTAAGGGATCACGGGAGATCCTGCAGAATAGGATCCCTCATGGCAGGACACACCACCTGCCACAGGTGAGGCCAGCACCATCCCCAGTGCATCGGTTTGTGGGACTGGCTGTTGACCTGCAGAGCAAAGAGATGTAAAGCCCTTGCAGGCTTGGCACAGTCCACAGCATTGGACAGGACCACCTTTGACCACAAAGACTGAAAGTCCAGGACCCAGAGCCAGCCCAGCTGATTTTCCCTGCCAGTTCTTTTGCAATGTAGTATTGGGAAGTAGGAGGGAGCGATGGCTAGGGCTCGGGCTTACTGCCTGCCTGTTATCACCTCCTTCCAAGCTCACTCTCAAATCATTTACTGCCCCCACCCCCAGAGGCATCTTGCCAGGACCCTTTGGTGGAGGGGACATCCTTGTCCCCAGCTGTAGCACAACCCACACAATGCAGAGGAACACTTGCTCCTGCAGCTGCCGCAGCTGTTCCCCCCTGCCACAGATGAGAAATGCTGAATCTCAGCAGCAACGCAAGAGGAAAAAAAAAAAAGGAGGAAAAAAAAAGGCATAAAATAATTCTGGGAGGTTTCTGCCTCTGCCTGTGATTCGGCCACAGTGAGCAGGCGGCACACGCAGCTCCACACCCATGCACGGCTTCCGCTGCACCTCACTTCCTTCTGCCCTGAGGAACCGGTCGCTCCTACTCACAGCCTCCCGGGAAGGGACACATTACAAGCACCGACCACCTTGGAAATCCATCAGATTCCCCCCCACTACCACCTCTGCTGGATCCACTACCCAGCCTCATCTCTGAGTATCGAAGCGTTCCTGTAATTGAAAGCTCTCAAATTAAGCTGCATCATTCCCACCGGGGAAGAAACACAGAAGCTGCCTGCCGTGCGCAAACGCCTTCCTGGCTGCAATTTGTTCAGTCAGGACATTAGACATCACCCGGAGATAGCATATTGCAAATCATACAGGTCCTGTAATAGCATTGTTAAAACAACACCTGGGTGGAGGACTCACCATCCTGCTCAGAGACACAGTCCAGCTCAGCGGAACCTACAAGCGGCTGGGGTAGTTGGCAATCTCACCCCCCCACACCCTGAGGCGAACATCCTTGCAAAACTTCCACCGAAATCAAACCAGAACCATCAGGAATCAAACACGAAGTGAAGCACGGATGGGAGGAACTGCTCTGCGGCCACGGTCTATCAAACAGAGGAACCAGCATCATCTTTCAGCTTTGCATGCTACACTGCAGGAAGCAATGCCCCGATGCTCCACTGGCAGCTGCTGGCTCCCAGCCCCACTTGCACCACCACCTCTCCAGCCCACACTGGGACATGACGCAGAGAGGCTATGTTCCCCTCCCAGTGCCTGACCCCACAAGTGCTCCCCTCGGCTCTCGTTTTGCGAAGGGAAGGAAATACTATTAGCAGCAAACTTTTTTCCGAGGATTTGCAAGTTGTTGCAAGCTGACCTCAGCCTCCATTGGTTACTCACACAAGGCATACCCAAAACTGCATCCGAAAGACACATGTTCACTAATCCAAGCAAACTGGCTCTCTTGACCCTTCTCACCACAATGCAAACATCACTGACACTCAGGACGGCTCATTCGACTGAAGAAAACCTGTTTGGCTATAGCTAACCATTCTTTAGAGGCACGGTGCAACTGGATATTTCCCCCAACCCCAATCCACTACCATATTCATATGGCACAAACAAACCATGGCTCTGCCCGGCACTGAGACGCACCACGGAAGGAGCTACATTACCTCAGCAGGCGTGGGGAGCCGGCTGGCGGTGCCCACAATCTGGTGGTAGAGCCCTGGCTCACCATTCCTCATGGTGCTCTGGCGGCTCCCCAGGGGGCTGGAAGTGAAGGGCTTTTTACACAGGAGATCACTCTGGCGAGAGTCTGTGGTGAGATAGACCTGGTGGTAGAAGTTGGGTGGCGTGAAGCCACCCCGCACAGCATCAATGTGGTGTAAGGGCCCTGGTGTCCTGTACAGGGTGCTCCTGGAGCTGTTGAACAGCTCCTTTGATTGCCTCCACTTGTAGCACTTGAAGATGCCCACTGACAACATGGTGATGAAAAAAGCTGCTGACACCAAAATCACAGCCAGGATGAGATAGAAAGTCACGTGCTTCCTGGGATCGTTGGCGGGTGCCACATCAGTGAGGTCAGTGAGCACCTCCTTGACCATCTCAGCCACAGAGATGGAGACAGTGGCACTGGTGGACAGCACAGGCTCCCCATGGTCTTTCAACAGGATGACTAATGTGTGCTGGGGAGCATCATCCTCCCGGAGCTGACGAGCCGTGAAGATCTCCCCACTGTGCAGCCCAACTGAGAAGAGGCTGGGGTCAGTGGCCTGCAACACAGTATAGGAGATCCAGGCATTGTACCCTGCATCCGCATCCACTGCCACCACCTTGGTGACCATGTGCCCGGCAGGAGTACCTGGTGCCACCACATCGGTATAAGTGGCAGTGGTGTTGGGGTGAGGGTACAGCACAGTTGGGGCATTGTCATTGAGGTCAGTGACAAACACACTGACTGAGACATTAGTGGCCAGAGGCGGAGAGCCGCCATCCTGAACCTGCACCATCATGCTGAACTCCACCTGGTCCTCATGGTCCAGGGAGGTGAGCAGGTAGAGGGTGCCATTCTCCCGGTTGATGGAGAAGATGTGGCCTACAGTGGGGTCACCCTGCAAGAGGGTATAGGAGAGATGGGCGTTGCGCCCAAGGTCCGGGTCTGTGGCGCTCACGTTAAGGATGGGGATGCCAGGCACGTTGTTCTCCAGCACATAGACATCATAGGAGTCCTGGGAAGACTTGGGTGCATTGTCATTGACATCTGACACCTGTACCAGGATCTGTTTTACTGCAGACAAGGGTGGTGAGCCCGAGTCCCTGGCTGTGATAGTGATGTTATACTCTGACGCCTTTTCCCGGTCCAGAGCTGCTTTCGTTTTCAAGGTGTAGTAATTTTTGAGGGAGGAGCTGAGCATGAACGGGATCCCAGGAGAAATTAAGCAATTCACCAGACCATTGTCATGAGAGTCCAAGTCTGTTACACTCAGCAGAGCTACAACCGTCCCTGGGGCTGCATCTTCAGGCACAGGGCTGTACACAGAAGTCACTGTCACCTCTGGAGCATTGTCATTCACATCCACAACTTCCACCAGCACTTTGCAATGAGCCACACCAGGAACGGCACCCTTGTCTTTAGCCTGTAAGTAAATCTCGTACAGCTTTGTTTCCTCATAGTCCAGCTGCCCTTTGACCCTCAACTCGCCTGTGGCTGAGTCCAGAGCAAAGAGTTCTCGTACCTTGGCGGGAGTGTGGCTGCTGAAGGAATAGACGATGTCTCCATTGGGCCCATCATCCAGATCATACGCACTGATCCTGGCAACCAGGGTACCGCTGGGTGTGTTCTCCCTCACGCTTGCCTTGTAGGTGGACTGGTTGAAGACCGGGGCATTATCATTGGCGTCCACAACATCAATGTGAATCTGCACGTGGGCTGACCGTGGTGGGCTGCCTCCATCCAGTGCGGTCAAGACCAAGTGCAGCTCCCGTTGCTCCTCTCTGTCCAGTTCCTTCTCTAGGACCAACTCTGCATACTTGCTGCCATCCACCCTCGTCTGCACGTCGAGGGCAAAGTGCGGGTTGGCACTGAGCTGGTAGGACTGCAAAGAGTTAACCCCCACACACAGACTTGCTGCTTTCCAGCCTCGCCTGGCTGCTGGGAAAAACCGGGTCGTTGTCATTGATGTCCTGAATCTCCACGGCGCCGCTGTACAGCTCCAGCGGGTTTTCCACCACGATCTCAAAGCTGAGGGAGCAGGGAGAGAGTGCGCCGCAGAGCTCCTCCCGGTCTATCCGCTCGCTCACCAGCAGCGCGCCGCTCGTCAGATCCACCCCGAAGTACTTCTTGTTGCCGCCGGACACCACCCGCAACCGGCGTTCCGGCAGCCGCCTGAGGTCCAGCGCCAGGGCGGCTACCCCGT